ATATATATATATCTAAAAATATATATATTTGCATTAAAATATAAAATCCAAAAAAAGTTTGAATTTTTTTAATTCATGTTAAAAAACTAATCAATAATGAATGTTTTAAAGTAAAGACACTTTAATGTGATGAATAACTGTTTCTTTTAGATATGAATAACTGCAGATTTGATAAATTATTGCTTAGAAGTGAGTCATGCTTGGAAGATTTAACCTTTAACGCAGAAAAAACACTTGTGTATTTCATAATATATATTTCATAACCATAAGTTATTAAAATGTCAAAAATAATATTTTTCTCTCATATTAACCAAAATTAATACAAAATAATAATTAAATTATGAAAAATATGTTTAATAAAAATTCTGTGTCAAAAGGTTAAACTGTCGTTACTTAAAAGTCTTACTTATTAAAATCTTATTTAATTGTAAAAAAGTTTAAGACTATAATGGCCCACCCTTTTAAAAATGTTTGTCAATTTAACTTACGTAAAAATTATATCTAAAGACAGATAATGATCAAATAGAGTATAATTTCGATAATGGAGTCAAATCACAATATAATTTAATAGATGTTCAAAGCCATTAAATAAATAGTGGAATATAAGAGCAGTATAGAAAATAATCGTAAAATGATTTGAAAAAAGATAAAGTTAACTTATGGTAAGCAAAACTGCAGGGCAAAAACTAGTATTTGAATTGACAGTTTCAATCCGTTTATGATTAAGGTGAAAAACAGAGAAAAACTGTTTCGTGAAAAACAGCTTTGAATCGTCAAATATATATATTGAAACTTTTCGCAACGTACGAGTAACGATTTGAAATAGAAAAAGTCTATATTTATCGTTAAATAGTTTTTCTCAGTGAAATATGTATTCTTTTTCTTGCAGAAGTAATAGTTAATTTTTTATTTTATAATTATTCGCATAATTTTTTAATGTCTTTTTTCATTTATTGGGTCACTTTTAAAAACTAACTGCACAAATATTTACCAAATTATCGTAAATGTTTGATTACAACAGAAGGAAATATGTAGAAGTTGATATTTTTTTGGAAAAAAAAAAGAAAGAAACTGCATATATGTGCAGAGTAAGCTCCAAAAAAAAGGGATAACTAATAACTTAAAATCTAATGATCTGGTTTTCCCACATTAACATGGAAATGGAACCAAATGTAATGTAAAATCTTGATTTCAAACAAAACGTTTTTATAGATTTTCAACTCGAACGTGCTATTTATTTTGAGATTGATTGGTTTCTAACTTAGTCCCCTAAAAAAAGACGTATGTTGTCTGCATGACAGATAGCGAAAAGATTACTGACATCAGGGTTGCAGTAGCGTATTACACTAAGGAAAAAAAACGTACACGGTACAAAAAAGTTTTTATAGTGTCATTAATTTTAACATATAATAATGCACACTTAGAAAAAAAGTATGGTCAAAACTTCCACTATATGGTAACATTTATCGTATTTATAGCACTATGGAATTACCAAAAAGCTCAGTAATTTTTACCGAAACGCTTAGGTAAAGAGTTTGGTACAATTAACTTTAAAATATGCTTTTAAAATGCGTGATAAATTTGGTAAATATGTTGAAATTTGAAAATTTTATCATGATACCTTAGAGTATGGCAAAAAACAATTTATTTGGTTAAATTTAATTTTCAGTTTTGCATTTTTTACTATATGTTTGGTAGTAAGAACTATAATTTTGAAAACCAGAATTTCTGGTAAACAGTTACCATATGAACGGAAAAATTATCTCGAGAATGGCTTAAAACCGTAGTATAATTTGGTTTTATTACCAAATTTATGACTTTTTTTTTATCAGAAATATCATTACTCCACGCGACTATAATTTTACACATTTTTTTTTCTTCGTGTAGAAATGCCTATTATTTGTATGTGCATGAGGCGTTACGTTCAATCCCATAATTCACGAGAATTATTCGTTGAATCCTTTTTTAAATTTTAATTAGTTTTATGATATAATTCAGGTAATTGGAATTGAGCAATAAGGGTGTGTAGTTCACTAGAATTTTTCCTATAATTTTATCAATAAAAAATTAAAAATTAAGGTTATTGCTGAAAAAAATTCCTGTTTAATACAACCCCAAGATGTTTATTCCTTTTTGATCAACCATCTAATTTATGAAGAAATCTAACTATATTTAACCACAGCAGATACTATATGGTAATTTTTTGTTCAACTTATTTCATTTGAGTTTAACCACTTTTCATCAAAAGTTTTCAGATATGGCTTTTGAGAAATCCAGCTATGATGTAAGATCATCCAAATTATATTAAAAATACTGTTCAAAAGTTCATATTTAATTCAAACAAATATCTATTGCAAATGTCTTATCAAATGTTTATTAAATTTCTCATAGTCACTCTGTATGTTTTACGCTGATATTTTTGTTTATATTTTTTGTTGTCTTATCAAATTTTCTCATTGTCACTCTGTATGTTTTACGCTAATATTTTTGTTGATAATTTGCTGATTGTATGTTGATATTTTTCATTATCATTAATAAAAATTTTATTCGCTTATTTGAAAGTATAAAAATATAAATTAAAAAACACTGAAAAGTAAATTTACAAGCAAACTCTAAAGCAAAAGTCGAAAAACCACTTGCTTTGTACTAGTGTTCTCCTAAACAAAAGAGGCACGTGCTCTGCCTTCGAGCCATCGTGACATCTATTATTCCTATTATGCGCAGCAAACCTTATTTTGGAAATAACTTGATAACTATTCAAGTATCCTCAAAATAAATAACTTATTCGAATTCAGCAACTCAAAGTCTATATAAATAATTTTATTTGATATCAAGTTTTTTTTTTTTTGTTACACTTGTTTGATACAATCTAATAATAATAAACTGAAAAATATTTACCAGCTAGAAAGAAAAAGAAACGTTCGTTTACAAAATGAAGAAAAATGTTTAAAGATACTCTCATTTCATCTTTCAAGACTCACCTTTCAAGACATTTCACCTTTCTTTATTAAATGTTTATAAATAAATTTAATCTATAACAGCTAATTTAATCTTAACATTATCGTTCAATACATTTTCAGAATATTCATTACACTAATCTCAATTGCACGTTTTATTTTATATATTTTAGTTACTTTAATTTATTTTATCGAGAAAATACATTCTACAGTTTATCATTTTCTGATATTAAGTGTTCAAAAGTAATAATTTTCAAATAAATAATGATAATTATGTACTACTTTATTTTCACGTTTAAGACAATCTCATGGAGTAATTTTCATCTGTGAAAGAAAAAATATATACGATAAAATTGAGTACTGAAAAATTATAAAAAATAGATTTCACTTAACCATGAACAAGTGCATTATTTATTAACAACATTTTACATAATATATTAAATAACATTTCTTAAAACAAAGAATATAAACATGCGCAGAATTAACAAATAATGCTTAAGAATAAGACTTTATAAATATTTTTAAAGTTAGGAATGCTTCTATCAACTGATTTTTCATGGAAGTTTTGCTTTTAAACATAAACATATTTTCTAAAGTAAGCAAAACAACGTAAACGCTCAAAAATTGTATATTATAACAAGCTGGTTAAACGTAGTATTTGTGAGAAAATAAAAAGAGAGCTCATTCTTCAGTATGAGTGAAGGGAAAAGTTTGTAATAATAATTACGTATTATATTTATCAGAATAATTACTTCTGAGTAAAGAGAAAAATTTTTCTTTTCTTTCTCAGAAGAAAAATATTTGTCAGAGTCATTTAAGTAATTTATTTTTTATTAGAATAAATAAATAGATGATAGTTTCATCCGTAAATGTGCGACCTACTCTGTTATTAGCTGTATCATTATACAGAGCAAATTTGACGTCATTTATTTAAACTTTATTTATAGTGGAAAACAACTTCAATGATTCCAAAATAAAAACTGCACACAGAAAACTTTTAAAATACATATAGTTGCAAAAAGTATATTTATAATATTTTCGTTTTAATATATGGGAAAGTAGGGTAAGACCGGGTAGTCAAGATTCGAAGGCTTGTAGAAACTAAACTAATTGACCTATAAACTGTCAAATTTAACCAAGATATTCATTATTTAGTTGTGTAATATTAATAGTGACCGACCTACCCCCAAAGGAGTTTTCGAATAAGGGTTCGACTCGTTGCCCCGTGAGAACCAAACACAACAAAATTATAGTAAAGTAAAATTAAAACTAATAAAGATTGATACACATTAGAAAATATCACAATATCGATGATGTGTAAATTTAAAACAATAAATCAAGTATTTTAAACCATGTGGGAAAGTAAAAAATACGAACTGGATGAATGAACGAACTGGATGCCAGTGCAAGAGCAGATGGTTCAGCATAACCAATGAGATTTATAAAATTTAAATTAATCATAATAATTCCAAAAGGGATTTATAGTTAAAACCAATATAAAATTTCGGAGCAAGACATCAAAGTGTATCGCTATCACAAAAGAGGTCACCAATGACCAAAAGTTCTCCATGGAAGGGAACAGCAACCAGTTCAAGTGTCTGGCTTAAAATAAAAGATCAAAGGGGTCTTAAAGAGAACCAGAATTCTTAAAAACAAGTGAAAAGCGCTTAAAACTTTATTTTTTTTATTGAGTTTTGTAAAGTATAACATTCTTGAAAAAGTCCTAGTTGCTCTACTTTTTTTATAAAGGATTTTTTTCTAGAAAAAGTCATTTTTTGGCACTCA